TGTAGATAGATAGATAGATAGATAGATAGATAGATAGATAGATAGATAGATAGATAGATAGATAGATAGATAGATAGATAGATAGATAGATAGATAGACTAACATACCTGTCTGCCTTACCTTGTCCAATCTTTCTTTTCTTACGTTACTCTATCTTATCGGATCAGATCTAATCTTATCTGATCTGATCTTATCTGATCTGATCCGACTTTAACTTGATCGTACAAAATACATGTATCGTATCTTATTCATACATCTCCTTCAGTGTACTTATATCTTCTCATCCCAACGTCGTACGTGACGTCGCCGCCTTACCTGCCGCCATCTTGTTTGAGCAGCCAGTTCTGGATAAAGTTGTGCTCCGACTGCGTGTCCACGCTGAGGAGAGACGAATGGTTCCTCTGACAATACAGCACGGCCTCCTGGACCGTGCGCAGAGGCTTCTGGACGAAGTGGTAGCACTGGCCGCCGAAGGTGAACCAGTTGGGCGGACAATCTGAGGGCAGATATGTCAAGTGAGAAATTATTTTAAAAAACAAAACAACGACGACGACGACAACAACAACAATGACAACTAAAAAAGCCCCCCCCCCCAACCCCCAAATATACAAACAAACCCCAAAACACCTCACACGCCCCCCAAAAAAAACAAAACAACAACAACAAAACAACAACAAACAACAGTAACGTGTGAAATGTGAAATTTTAAATTTTTTAAAAAGTATAGTGTGAAATGTTTTTTTAAAAGGGAAACATGTGAAATGATAAAACGAAGGAGGTAAGAAAAGTGTGAAATGTAAAATCGTTAAAAAAAATAGAAGCACTGGTCATTGAAGGTGAAACACTTGGGTGGACAGTCTGAGGGGAAAATAAAGTGTGGAATGTGAAACAGTGAAATAAAAAGGGGAAAAAAGTAAAGTGTTAATTCTTTTTTAAAGTCAAAGAAAAGAAGTAAATAAGGCGCAAAATGTGAAGTAATAAAGACAAGTGAAACAGAAAGTTAACTAGGATATTATGGGAAATGGTAACAAGAAAGAAAGGGGGAAAATACTGTACGGATTGAACTTCCCTATCATCTCTATTGCCGGTACCTACTCATTTAACGACCGTCACCGAAAAGCGCTCAGAACTTTTACTCGTGTGGAATGGAGCGCTATGTAAATGGAATGTATTCTTCTTCTTCTTCTTCTTCTTCTTCTTCTTCTTCTTCTTCTTCTTCTTCTT